CTATAAAGAAAAATTATGCTTTTATTGCTACCGTTAGTTACTTCAGTATATGAAGAAAAAGAACAATGCACTGGTGTCTCTGGTATGTATATAGCGATTCAAAACATGAAGAATCGAAATTTCAAATCCATCAGACGTTGACGGCTTCAATACGGAAAAAAAAAACGATAAAGTTATTTCTTATTTCTTTCTCAAATTACCAACGCACTTCTCTTTACACAAGGTTTTTCTCACTATAAATGAACGGAAATTGAGACTTTATGGACATATATATATATATATATATATATATATATATATATATATATATATATATAAATTGTAGCTAATAACTGATACAATGATACTGACATAAGGAATACCTAGACATCCCTTGTCCAATTCAAGTAGAATATTCTGTAACCATGGAAACGTGATTTTAGCTGTGTCTTTAAAACCCAGTAATTTTTAAAAGTTACTCCAAAATTCGCTTGAGGATGAAATGGAACTAATGCTTTTAATTTAATTGCAAAATTAAATTCGGGGCTTTTAGCTTCTATTTTTGAAACATGGTTAGAACTGTGTAGCGGAAAAAACCATATTTTAAATCAATTAATTTATTATATATATATATATATATATATATATATATATATATATATATATTGGTCAGCATTTATGCTGGCGCCATTTAATTTAATTAAAATTTGATGTACGTAGGTCCTTACTTTCCGTACGAACAATTATTTTTATTGCATGAGCGATTTTCGTTGGATTTCGCAATTAATTTCGATTATTCAAAAATTTATTTCTAAGTTATAAAAATTGTCATAGCACCATAAAAAAAAATTGTCGCAAAAATCACGTAAAAAAATCGTGTCTGGATCCGACCGGGAATGTTTTGATTTACTCATGTAGTCGGCCTGATTTCAAAATGTTATGATATTTTGGGCTACGGCCTCTAGGAGTAAAGTTGAAAAAGTGAATATATATATATATATATATATATATATATATATATATATATATATGAAAGTAAAGGATTGGTGTATACGGAATAAATTCCAATAACCATCAAATACTATTCTTAAAAGAGTGCTCAATACAGAGTAGAGCAAATATAATTATTTATTCCAAAATTATAACATAAATATGTTATAAAATCACTACAAAATAGCCATTTTGTTTCAACACTTCCGGTTTCTTATCAAGTGATGATGTTGAATGTTGAATAAAGGGTTTTAAAAGGTTCAAATCAATCAAACACCCCTTGCTAAGGGGAAACGCTGTTACATAAGCTGGAATGACCAATCAAAATACAAGTATACCAGAATTCAAAAAACTATTCAACGGACTAAGGTTATAATAATTATTTAATGCTTTAATGTTGGGCTTAGACTAAAATAGAATTTATTCTAATTAATAAATATTAAATTATACGATAAAATTTGAAATTAAAAATTACCCATTTTAAAATTTAAATTTAATCTATATTAAGTTTAAAATTACAAAATTACATATGTTTTTCTATTTATTTTGTTTTTATTGAAATTAAGTTGGAATAAACGTTAAGATCAAATGTTGCTCTGAACTTCATGACAACGTAGATACATATTTATGTTATAATTTTCGAATAAATAATTATATATATATATATATATATATATATATATATATATATATATATATATATATATAGTGGCAATAAAGCCACTATGACGCCAGGGATTATTGAGTGTGAGAGAATATGGGAAAAAGAGAACATTGTTAATGAGTGAAAACAATAAATGGACAGGAATTAAGAAGACAGTACCTCGAGTCATGAATCTAAACGTACTACTAGTTTGGGTCTATCGTTTACTGCTTAAATTGCTAAGCGTAACAGTAATTTCTGTTCTAATAGTTCTTTCTTCTGCCCTTCGCTGTGGAACTCTCTTCCGGCTTCTTGCTTTTCCTGTCAACTTCAAAAATTTAAAATCAAACTGAATGGTTATTTTGTGTCTCATTGAATTCTGTTCTTTTTATTGTCCTTCTTTTTTTTTTTAGTAATTTTTTCTCAGTTTCCTTTACTCTCAATGTTGCCACCCCACTTGCGTCTTAGTGGCTTCCTCGTCTTGCATGAGGTGAAAGGATTACAAGGGAAGACGATGTAGAAACGGTTGCAAATACGATAGGACATATTTCAAAGGCGGACTCGATCGACCATGAAGAAAAAAAAATGCTTCCCTCAACGAAATTTGTTGGCTTAGATATCAGCTTATTCAGTGTCTGATCACTTATTTTTGCGCTTGATTTTCATAAAAAGCATCGATTTTTTTTCCTTCATTAAAAGGAGTCACTTGCCGGAACCATCGTGAATTAAGGCGCCTAAGGCATAAGCTTCATTAGTTCCACGGCAAATACGCGATAGCATTTTTGTGAGTGCGTGGTGTACAACTAATATGCCTGAATTCGTAGGTCTGTAAGTATTAAATACTTGAATGGGAATAAAATCCTTGCAATACATTTAGAAAGATATGCAAACATATGAAAATTTAATATTGTAATTTGTTCACATGATACTGTGAAAATGAAATGGTATGGGCTTATAGATATTTAAAGATGTTACATGGATATATATATATATATATATATATATATATATATATATATATATATATATATATACGCTGAAAAATTATTTCGGTTGAGATCTCGAGGAAGAAAGTGTGAGTTTGTAAACAGTGTCTACTACTGCTATTAATGCAATACTCTTCTATAAAACGAATCGAGTTCTCTCAGTCACTGGTGTGTTTATCTAAAAATAAATACGCTTAAATTCTCTGCCGTGCGTCAACGGCTTAGGGGTAGATTTTCCGACTGACGTAAATTTAGACGTCTAGACACACTGATGAGCGAAACGGTCTGTTACAGCCAACGAATAGATCTATTTCAGCTAACGCGGAATTTCAGATTTAGAATTTAACCTCAGCCAGACGAAATGCCCGAGTCGGTGGTAAGGGGAGGGCGGAAGGTATCAGTCTTAAAGGTAAGAGGTTCCACAAAATCAACCCGGATATTAACCTTATGACCCTAACTTGTGGTTGTATGAAGAATGACGTGTTGAATTAAAACTAAGAAAATGAAAAATCATATAAAGTATATATATATATATATATATATATATATATATATATATATATATATATATATATATATATATATATGCATGTATACATAAATAAAAAGAAAGAACAGTAAGATATATAATCCGGGGTTCTTATTGATATTTTTTATTTTTATTTTTAGAAAACAGTGCTCAGTGTAAATTTACAAGGCATAAACATTATAAATTAACTGATTTAAAATATGATTTTTTTTCGCTACACAGTAATAACCATGTTTCAAAAATGGAAGCTAAAAACTTTAAATTTAATTATATAATTAAATTAAAAGCATTAGTTCCATTTCATCTTCAAGCGAATATTGGAATAACTTATTTTTAAATTTTTAAATTTACTGAGTTTTAAAAATAAGTTATTCCAATATTCACTTGAAATTAACATTGACGTCTCATTTTAACATATATATTTACCAAAATTGCAGAAATATATCTTGAAATACTACAATGAAAATTTATTCAATAAAATCTCCATTGGCTTCAAACATGACTTCGGAATCTCTTGCATCTCTTCTGGACGGTCTCCTTGTTTAAGTTGGTGAATGCTACCATAATATATATATATATATATATATATATATATATATATATATATATATATATATATAAACAAGAATACCAAAAGTCCGAGTTAAATACTTTTAAAAATAAATTCATATATTCTACTTTTAAACAGAAATTAAGGCATACTCAAAGAATATAATTTCCGCAAAAAGGCCTGCTGTAGAAATCCTATTCTACTCTAGCAAACAACTAACCCAGAACTATTAGAGATCTTATATACAATAAATGCGAATGTCAGTGTGTCAGTGTGTCACACGTTTTCAACTTTACTTCAAGAGGCCGTAGCCCAATATATCATAGCATTTTAGAATCAGGCCGACCCCGTGAGTAAATTAAAAACATTCCCGGTTGGATAGGGACACGCAATCTTGAAATTTTGGATTCCCAACTTTTGATTGCTGCGATTGTTTTTGGATTCCGCCATCTTGGCTTCTACTGATAAAAACAATTAAAGGGACACAACTCACTAACTTTCACTAGCACATGTTCTAATGAAAAAATTACAGTTCTCAAATTTTCAATGTTTCAAAATAAATTTTGTTTTCAACTTTACTCCTAGAGGCCGTATCCCGACATATCATAGCATTTTTGGATCAGGCCGTCTCTGTGAGCAAATTAAAAATATTCCGGGCTAGATCCGGACACGTAATCCTGAAATTCTCGATTTCCAAGTTTTCATTACTGCAATTGTTTTCAGCGGCTTTTTAGTGATTTTTTTGCGATGAATTTCTTTGTACGATAACATTTTTAATAACTTGGATATAAATTTGGGAATAATTGGAATTAATTGCGAAATCCAGCGAAAGTCAAAATAATTATTTTTACGGAAAGTAAGGACCTACGTACATCAAATTGTCTTCAAATTAAGTGGCGGCAGGAGAATTATCGTTAAACTTTTAAAAGGTAAACTTAAATATTACTACAGTACTTACTGCATCGATGAATTTTGCGTTCTTCTGTAGTTTATTGTTGCCTGTCTCATCTACTTCTCCCTTCCTATTGAGATGAAGGCCCAATCAAGAGACCTCCTCAGGAGCTAGCTTAAATGTCGCCCTATAGGGTAGCTTTTAAGCTAGTCTGCAATATAACACATGCGGGCAAAAAATTCCCGAGGGAAGACGAAAAAACGAATTCTCCCGGAAAAAAATCTTCATTTTTTATTTCTCGTCTCATTGAGAAAGAACACAAGTGTGCCCCAAAACTGTGTGTTTAATATCTTTCTCATCATGCTGCATTTAGTCAAAAGGCATACAATAAATATTATTAATCTCATTATAAACAGAAAATATATTAAATA